TGTTTGTTCCTTAGTACTAGTAAATGGATGGTTTTAAAAGAGGTCATTATTGTTTTATACAAATAACAACAGGTTAAGTCTGTAATCATGTCATTTGAAGGAAAACCTAACAATCTTATAAGTTCGTATGCTTTGGAAATGCATATGTCAATGTTAGTAATATTCATACAAAACTACGGTAAAATATATATCTTTTATTTATTATTCACAATAAATAATATTTTTCCTAAGATCCTACTTGATCCTACTTTATTGTTACAAAACACCAATAAAACAATTAACTACCATCAAGAGACACATTCGACAGAAAATAGAAAGACAATGTTTTAAGTTCAGTAGCAAGCGTCGGCGACGGGAACATTATATTGTCTTTATCGTTGTTTGTAACTCGAAATACTGAAAATAAAATGAGACAAAAATAAGCTTTATTTATGACAAACTAAACAATACGAAAATATGCATGACAGAATCATGCCCACAACTCATCATTTGACAAGACTTAGTGTAAAACTCGAAATATTTGAGATATGTGAACGAATTAACGTACACATTTTGATATTATAAACATTACTTATACATAGCAAACTGATTGAATAATATTAGTACTACCAGATATTCAATCTTTGAACGAAATACGTTTTTATTTGCCTAGGTCGCTTGCAACTTAACTATGTATGTTGCATAGGAACGGTGTAAGCAGTTTTTATTGAAAATTAAACTAAACTAAACTTATTTATGTCCAACATACATATATTTGGCTCTTTTATCACTGTGTCATTTCTTGTGGAGTTGGCAACAACTTTACTGTATCCGTCAACTGCCCTAAGTACATCGGCTGGCCTAAAATTTGCACCCTGAAAGTTCGAAAAACTGTATAGTCACAATTTCGATGCAAAAAAAAGCAACAAAATTTGACGTTTAAAAATAAGAGTTTAATAGAAAAATAATGCCTTATTCCGAGTAAATGTATGATTATATAATTATATATTTTTTCTTCAAATGGATTTGAAGAATTTGATATTACAATATATTATGTACTGTTATATAAATATGTTGCCTTATTCCCAAATGTATGATTATATAATATTTATAATATTGATTTTTTTTTAAAATAAACATGAAAAATTTGACATTTCAATTTATTATGTATTTGTGTAAGTTAAAATACTCATCAAATATGAATATGAACACTTCCGTACACTTTGTTTTCATTGGTTAACAATTTCCGTGTATTTTATAGCAATATTGTTACAATTTATTTTATCTGGTTTTATGCCAATTTCAACACACTTATGTAAGCCGTTGGTCCAGCTTACCGTGTTTTTTTCTGGATAATTTACCAGTTATTATCACTTTTTCCGCAAATGTTCGACTACTAACCCCACATGACATTAGAGACAAATGCCAGGTATACTCAATTTAAAAGTCCAAATATTTCGCCTCGGACCATTGACTCTTTAAGTATAGTGCCAATGCTATCCCTATTAAGCCAGGATATTATTTTAGATTAAACATGTTAAGAAAGATTAAACATTTTGACAGAAAGATCAGAATCTTATAAGTAAAGAATGCAGTGGAGAGAACTTTGGTATGTTGTTTTACCTCCGCCGTTTGTTGGTTAACTGCTCTCCACGAATCAACATTTTTCTTGTCAACAATATTACTTGCAGTCTTTATAAAGTTCTAAAATAATAATAAAAAAACAACAATAAAACAACAACAACAAAACAACAATACAAACTCTTGTATGTTGACAAATACCTAAACCCTGTTTCGCTTCTATTACATCTTACCAATGGAAGTCAAAATACTACTCTGTTACCATTTTGCTACTTTTTAGTTTTAGACACATTCATCACTTCTTTCTTAAAGTGATTATCATAAGACATGCTCTGAAACCTTTATTTAAATGTTGAAAACTTATTTTTGCATTTATAAAGGGTGAAAGGTACATTTGTTTCTGAGGCCTTATGTGCCTTTATATAAAATGTTTTCTTACCTGTATCTGGTCATCGTTAACAGTAATATTGTTGCTTATAGCAACTACATTTTCTAACGTTTCCGTTATTAGTTTCAGTTCTCCGTCATACAGAACGTCGTCTGCGTCAGTATCTGTGACTTGTGTCAAGTTAGACAAAACTGTATTTACTACTGTCTCTGATGGATTTTCTTTTGCTCCTTCAATCTGAAAAGGTAAGTCAATTTCATCAAGAACATGAGAATCTTTCAATTAAAATTAAATTTTACAAATACGTAAATATGAATTGATAATTGGTCTACTCCTTAGGTATTATTACCGTTGTTTTGGTCAGTTTTATAATGCTGCAGGGCCTTTTACATTAATTGAATTAATATCTATATTCAATCAAAAGACGTTTACAATCACCACCGATATGACATTGTTTATCTGAACAGGTTTTATGATAGCTTCTTATATGTACTCTATTTAATTATTATTTTTTATTTATTTATCTAATTTTTTCTTATTTCTTTTTATTTTTTTCTGTTTTCTTTTTTGCGTTTTGTTTTTATCACTGATATTCATAGATTTGGTGTTCATAAAGAATACTGTATTAGCCGACCGATGCTAGGATGTGTTATTAATAATGCAATTTCCTTTATCGTTCATGAAAAAATCAGTCAAAGCAAGTTTGCAGTTTTGGATCTATGTATTTTTGCTTCCCTATTTAGCAGTGTCTTAAACAGCAAAATGTATGTTTATTGTCAAAATATGATAAACAAGATCATCAAGGAAAGGCGGCGTTCAATAAAGCAACCCCCACACGACCCGGCAACAAGAACCAGCTGCAAGGAGCCGAGGTGGACCCAAAACTAAAACAGGACAGGTCACAAGGCAGAACACGGACAGGATAATCATAAAAATGATACGTAAGAAGAAATAATTTGTAACTGATAAGGAATTCAAAGAAAACAAATCACACAAACTAGAAAATGTGATAATTAAGATTTTTATTTGGAAAAAGAAAAATCACACAAGATAATTGATAAATCATACATCTTATAAAGGAAAGAAAATACAATCCAATTACCAGTTTCGTGATCTCCTCAATGCTTTCCCTTACACAATTATAAACTGGCAGCATCCATTGTCCCTGAAGCGTGCACTTTCTTGAACTTTCTCCTGCAATGTAATGTAAAATGTAATGTAAAACATTAAATAAGTGTACGCTTTACACCGATTTTTTTAAAATTCTAAAATACCATTAGAGAATAAACTGTTCCCGTTTGAAAAATATAAATAACGATACAAGATGAGGATAATAGTCAAAGAAGCATAGGTATATAAATATAACATAATTAATGATATAAACATTTAATTCAATGAAAATACAAAACACAATCGATATTTATAACACGATATGTTTGAAAAATGTAGCCAGAAATCAAAGACTCTAAATATGCAAATATGGTGAAACGTTTCCTTTTAATATTATACTGATTAACTTTTATAAGTTTAACTATTCTTTTTATATACTTATTTGTGTTATTAGCTCACCTGTCACAAAGTGACAGGGTGAGCTTTTGTGATCGCTTTTCGTCCGGCGTCCTCCGTCGTCCGTCCGTCCGTCCGTCCGTCGTCCGTAAACTTTTACTTTAAATGACATCTCCTCATAAACCACTGAGCCAATTTCATCCAAACTTCACAGGAATGTTCCTTTGGTGGTCACCTTTGAAAATTGTTCAATTTAATTCAATGCAGAACTCTGGTTGTCATGGCAACCAAAAGAAAAAAATTTAAATATCTTCTTCTAGAAAACCCAAAGAGCTGGAGCTTAGATATTTGGCATGAAACATCTTCTAGTAAGTGTCTACCAAGTTTGTTCAAATAAAAGCCTTGGGGTCAAAATTGGCTCCGCCCCAGGGGGTCATTGATTTTCCCTATATGCATATAGTAAAAACTTTAAAATTCTTCTTTTAAAGAACCCAAAGAGCTAGAGCTAAGATATTTAGCATGAAACATGTTCTAATGGGTGTCTACCACGTTTGTTCAAATAAAAGCCCTGGGGTTAAAATTGGCCCCGCCCAGGGGGTCATTGATTTTCCCTATATGCATATAGTAAAAACATTAAAAATCTTCTTTTAAAGAACCCAAAGAGCTAGAGCTAAGATATTTAGCATGAAACATGTTATAATGGATTTCTATCAAGTTTGTTAAAATGAGAACCCTGGGGTTAAAATTGGCCCCGCCCCGGGGGTCATTGATTTTTCTTATATGTGTATAGCAAAAACTTAAAAAATCTTTTTTGAAAAAAAAAAACAACAACAACAAATAGCTAGAGTTTAGATACTAAGCATGAAACATCTTCTAGTGAGTGTCTACCAAGTTTGTTCAAATAAAAGCCATGGGGTCAAAATTGGCCCCGCCCCGATGGTCATTCATTTTCCTTATATGTGTATAACAATAAATAAATCTTCTTTGAAAAAACTCAAATAGCTAGAGTTTAGATATTAAGCACGAAGCATCTCCTAGTGAGTGTCTACAAAGTTTGTTCAAATAAAAGCCCTGGGGTCAAAATTGGCCGGCCCCGGGGACATTGATTTTCCTTATATGTGTATAGCAAAAACATAAAAATCTTCTTTGAAAAAACCAGAATAGCTAGAGTTTAGATATTAAGCATGAGACGATTTATAGTAAGTGTCTACAAAGATTGTTCAAATAAAAGCCCTGTGTAAAAAAAAAACTTGAAAAAATCTTCTTTTAAAAAAACCAAGGAGCTAGACCTTAGATGTTTAGCATGAAACATATTCTAATTGGTGTCTACTAAGTTTGTTCAAATAAAAGCCCTGGGGTTTAAACTTTCCCCGTTCCGGTGGCCTATATACAGGTGAGCGACTTCAGGGCCATCATGGCCCTCTTGTTATATTTCTGTCGTTATTGCCAGCAACTTAATAGAACAAATTTTATAACTGTTACCCTAATGACGAGTATGATAAAATGTTAAAAAATAATATATCTTAATTTACATATTTCTTTATATAATATGTGATCCATTTTGCGGTCTGTTTGATATGCACGTATTTAGAGTAAGGACTACATACAACTGTTGTATTAAAAGTAAAACTGCTTAAGCCGGTGCTAGTGGGGGCATTATATATTTTGCATTTTTCATTATCTCCCATGAAAAGTATCTGCATCTTTTAATCTAAACCTTTATTTCATTGTTCTAGATGAATTCCCCTTTTCCATTTTGTTTTAAAAAAGTTCACTCACAGCTTTTTTTCTTGTGTTAGACGGTCATAAATGTATCAGGGACAGCATTTTGAAAAGGGTGTCCGTTTGTGATTTGAAATAAAACATAGTTACCTTGGTATCCGTTCAAACATGGTTTTGTCACTATAACACCAGGCGACGTCGTCTCCCATAATGTTCCTCTGTAGTCACGCTCGCTTTCACATTGCTTAGATATTTTGTCTTCAATAACTCAATAAAAATATCCATAACTTTGATATTAGTTTTTATTATAAAATATAGATTTAAAAACATCAATGACTAACACCTATATATATATCGTCATTAAATATTGTATATGATTTCTTTGAAAAATACACGAGTTAACATTGAATGAAAAATTTGACATGATTAATTATAATAAAATTATGAAGAAAAACGAAAAGAATACATTTTAAACTGGAAAGAAAATGTTAATAGTTCAATCGATTTCTATAACTTACATAGCCGTTATGAACAGCAAAGACATATAAAATATAATCCAAATGAATAAAAGATAACCAGCAGTAAATAAATTATAAACTTTGAAAACATGCTAATGAATTATGTTTATACAATGTTGAATGGCGATAAACTCTATTATTCAAAAGCAATTGAAAATGTGACAAGATTTATGTTCAAAAATATGTCTCGTTGAACTTAGCGTTAAAGGTTGATAGGATAGGTCACTTTTGACTTTTACGAGGAATGATTAATTTTCTGTTTAAGATGTGAAAATATTTCTTTAAATATCAAAAACGAATTTAGAATTGTAGTTTATAAATACTGGGCCGTTTGAATGGACGCAAAACATATACCTATTTAACAAGTGCACAAAAATTACGAAAACAAATAACAAAACAAAAACAAAAGAATTGAGAATGCAAATAGAACATATAATTGAAATCACACAATGAATGGACTGAAAATAAACGAGAGAAGACTGTATAGAATACCTGGAATACACAAAGGAGTAGAGCCGCTCCAAATACCAGAGCTGAGGCATCGTATAATTTGATGACCATCTAACACAAAACCAGTGTTACACTCGTACGTGACTACAGCGCCGAATGTTGTATTTGTTTGTGGGGTTGTTATTGACCCATTTCCCGGTATTTCGGGTCTACTACACTCTGAAAAATACTAGTTGATTTGTCAATGAGTGAAACTGAATCGGTGTTTAAATCAATGATACCGAGTAACCGATAAACGAGCGCCAATAAAAAACAATCTAATTGTACAATTTACAAACATCAATCAAACTATTTACTATTACTATTTTAAACCATTATATTAGTAAGTCAATTATATGTGATAAAAGTCACTTCTTGCAAACATATATGCCGGAATGGAATATATATTTTGTTTTTATACTTTAAGACTGAAAATAGTTTATTTAATATAATCTTATAGACTTCATAAAGCACATAATTATATGAGCCGCGTCATGACAAAACCAACATAATGGGTTTGCGACCAGCATGGATCCAGACAAGCCTGCGCATCCGCGCAGTCTGATCAGGATCCATGCTGTTCGCTATCAGTTTCTCTTCTTGTTATAGGGTTGGTAAGCGAACAGCATGGATCCTGATCAGACTGCGCGGATGCGCAGGCTGGTCTGGATCCATGCTGGTCGCAAACCCATTATGTTGGTTTTGTCGTGACGCGGCTCATATATCTTTTTTTGGCACAATATATTACAATATTTGTTTTTCACTCTATTAATAAATGTATTATCTGACATACCGACAATGCGACATATGGAGTTCAGACTGCTCCATAGCCCATTAGCCATACACACAGCACTTCTTGGACCAATCAGTTCGTAGCCCGTGTTGCAGATAAACACAATGGCTGCCCCAAATGATGTACCGTCTCCAGAATAAACGTTACCATTATTGAGAGCAAAATTTCCACCACAATCTATAATTTGATATTAGTCTAAATTTCCTTCATCATCATAGTTAAGAGATTTGCATTAGACATCATGCCCATGAAAGGTTAATTGTAACCTTTTTAGAATCACGTTTGAATTAAGTAAAAGAGTTTTAAAGTGAAAAAGGTCCATTTTGCTAATGATACTACATTTAAAGTTGCATGTGACTAAATTGGTATTTATTTGACAGTAAAATAATGCAAAAGTATGTTTTTTGTGCATAGGTTGACATTGTTTGCAAACTGCTGTATATTCGACAATTTTTTTAAAAAACAATTTCTGGGAGAAACGCACGATATAATCAACATAGGACCGTACATCTTTTATCAAAACAATTATTTTGCAATTCTTTTTAATATTAGAAGTAAATTAACCATAAAGCAAACTATCTGTTTAAATCCATTATTTCATACCTATAGGCACACAAGTTACGTTCGTTAAGTTAGACCAAACTCCACAAAAACAAAACACTTCGTATTGATTTCCTTCTATTGGCGGGAACCCGAAAACGTGACCAGCATTGCACGTGAACACTGCCGCCCCATCAGCTACAACAACTTCACCATTTACTGGAGTTTCAGGTTGTTTACACTCACAAAAATCTGTGAATTGTTTTTAAAAACATGATTCTTTTCGATTTTTATAGTGACATTTTCAATTTTGCCGTGTTTGGCTTTCTTTATTGATGCTGTCTTTCTCTTTTTATGCTCTTTTTATTGTCGTGTTGATTTAAACTAGCTGTGTATTTCAAAAGACTGTCTATTATTATTATCATTATTATTATTATTATTATCATCATTTTTATTATTATTAACCAATAATTGATAATGGAAATTGTTTAGGGTTAAATATAAAACTGCCTGAAATATAAGGATACTGCCTTCAAGTGAATGTTAACGCAAAATTACGAATGATATTGATAAAATTTTCCGTAGGTCGAGATATCTGTGAAGAGAACGAACTATTAAAAACAATTTTAAATTAGCTATTTTGATTTTAACATGTACGCTTACCATTGACCAATTTGATTGGCATAATGCCACTTTATATATATACATTCTTCCACCAACGTACATTGTACCTATATTTGCAGAATAAACAACCTTATATTCACATAATTTGGTACTATTTTCAAAAATACATTTTAAGTTATATTTAAAATGACATTTTTAACTGGTAAACTAATGGAGCCATTCAGCAATAAATCGTTTCTTTCAAAATTCCATTTTAGCTTCGGCTAATGATATCTCGTGTAGGGCACAAGCATTTCTTATTTGAGGAACATACGCCACTTTGCATGGAATTATAGAACGTGTCACATTAAAGCAAATTTCAAAATTATCATGTTTAAATGTTGAAGTGTGCTTTAATCGGTACTAAGGGGCATATACGGTATCTTGCTTGAACCATTTCCATCCATGAACAGGCCCAATCAAATCGAGCTCGCAATAATATCATGTTAAGTTTTTGCCGTTTTGATTGTTCTTGAGAAATTTCATTTTTATCTTTTTCTTATAATTTACAAAATATAGAAAAGTTTCAATTTATTAATTATATTTCATATAGAATCTTTTTTTAACTATATAAATTAACAATTATGAACAAATCCCATACGCAAAAATATGTTTTGTTTGTTTTACACCTATGAAGAACTTATCATACTCTATGCAATTCGAGATGTTCTATATCTCAGGATCATTTATCAGAAATACACAGTTTAAAAGTACAATTTGAAACGTAATACTATGCTTATTACGGTAGACGTTATATTCATTTGACCATCAATTTATGCGTTTTCTCAAATCAGCGCATCTAACAAGACATATGATATAGATATTCATGTTTCTTCATTAATATAAATCTCTAGTTACTCAACCGCATCGGCAATATCCGCCCTATCTCTGATAGACATTATTTCTTCAGAGGGAGACAAATTTGAATCCGGTCTTTAAAAAACAACAAAACAAACAAATAAACAAACAGAGATTTTGTGACAAACATTTATTTACCTGGTGTGGTCAAATCCCAATCTAAAGTTGGCGTAAGAAAGGATGTTAATGTTGGTGACACTGTTGTAAAATTATTTGCCACGTCTGTTGTAAAGTCATTCCCTTTTATAACATAAATATAATTATTTATTTATTTCAAACAAAATAAATCACATCCATAACATGACATTATGGTGCTGATGATGCTGATACATTCTTTGTAATAAATTCCCGATCAGAAAGATTCAGAAAAATATAAAGTTCGCGTTTAACAAATTCACACAAAATAAATATTAAAATGCATTTACAACTTTACGTAAACTTGGCATATAAAACCCAAAGCGGTGTAAAATCAAATACATACAATTTACTGTCGTGGTGAGATTTTGTTCGAAAGACGGAGTTGTTGATGAGGATAAAGACGATACTGGCGGTAACGGTGTTCCTGTTTTGAGGTGAGTAAAAGTTTCAGAATTATCAATTAATATTTCTAAAAGTTTTAAAACAATAAAATTACATAAATATATATGGACACAAAAAATACACAGCAAATACTGAGCAATTATCCTGAAATCAGTGTGTATAAGCTCAAATTAGAAGAAAACACTCTGGATACTCATATAAGTTAATGATTTGTTTAACGAAAGGAAACCTAATAAAACAAATGACAAAACATTCATTTTTTGGGAGTGCTTAAAAACGTTTACTATCGATGTTATGTATGCAGCTAAGAATGTCAAAAGACGGTAATCGGACGTTTTCTTCAATCATTGTCAATGCCTAAAATGATAAACTTCAACATAGAACTAAGGATTACTATTACTATGAAGGTGTTAAATGCTTTGTTAAAGAAATTCTTTGCGCACTAAATCGAGACCGAACTTACGGTAATTCATGTTTTGTTAAAGTAAATTCTTTGCGAACTCGATCGAGAAACAACTCAACGTGATAAAAACATTATTAAGATTAATTCTTTGCACACTCAATCGAGAAACAGGTAAGAAATTAAAGAGAAGGAATATCTGCTTCAACACTGGTCACTGCTAAGAAAAAGTAAAGATGTTAACTTAAAAATACAGATTCATGCATATCAAATTCATTCAGTCAGTTTTGGGTAAATATATGATAGTTCAAACTTGGAAAAGGTTCAAACATGAACATGCTTTTTAAATGAATATTCGGTGACCTGTTGAAAGGTTGAAAGCTTTATTATGATATATTTTAATAAATTTATAAAAAGGTTTAAGTCTCGATTCTCGAATAGTTGTCACATAGAATGACTGTGGTAGACACACATGATTATTTTACGAAAACATGGAAGTATAATGCTCCTATTTTAAGTACCTTTAATTGTTTAGCAATAAGTTCATGCATTTTCCTTTCGTTTTTAAAGAGATAAACAAGCACATTTCTTTCAAATAAATATTTTGGAAGACTTTTAGTATTTTTTTTATAAAATTTGAATAATGATTTAAAAAAATTGTAGGCAGTAGATATATACACTTGAATCTTTTTATCACGAATACTAATGGGTGAATGAAAAAAAAAACTTAGATATATGTGTTCACATTACTGACATTGCTGATTGCCATAACATATATGTTCTCACCTGACTGGCATTGCTGATTGACATAAGATATATGTGCTCACCTGATTGACATTGCTGGTTGCCATAAAATATGTTCTTAGTTGTAATATCATGCACGAAGGTTGTAAAGTCGACCACAATTGTACAACTAAGCGAAAGAAAATAAAAGTCATTAGTCATCATAATGTATTAATTAAATATTAGTTCAGTTAGAAATTGTTATGGCTTTCTTGAACATTGTATATGACGAATAAACAAAAAAGTACCAAAAATGCGGTTCGTTAGTGTGCAAGATTCCTACGATATGGTCAGTTGATATAACACAACAAATTCAAAGTTAATAATAGATAATCTATAATCATAGGTAGTTTAGAGAATTATTTAGGAAACCAAATGGAAGTGAAATATGAGGACATCATATCAATAAGAAAGGTTCAACTTCAAGTTAACAATCTATTTTTCCTTGCAACTAAGGTGAGTTCATTTTAAATCAGCAGCGAAATAACTTCATGCATGCCCCTGGGTCAAATTGCTCCCGGAATTAGTTTATATAGACATATATAGGAAAATATAATTAAGTCTTTTTTTATGAAACTACAATGCAAAAACGTAAAGCATACACTCATATTAGTGCAAATTCTCAAATGCTATATCACAAATGTGTAGTAAACATTTAGACGGTGCTAGTGGGCGTGATAAATGTTTATATGTCTATCATTAACATACTATACATGTGTATAACTGAAGTTGCGATTTTCAACCCACATGCCCCTTTTTGGTTACATGTATTATCAAATATAAAAGTATTTTGTTTTAACTTATAATAATTCATATATTGCGTACATGCTTATTGATAGCCGTGTCATTGTCTACAAAAATCCACTTACTTTATGGAAACTGTTGACGTCATTCCCTCATTTGGTGTCCACACCAGGCTAATGTTCCCTTTTGCATCCGACGAAGCATGTGTTACGGACGCTGTCTATGATAAAATGACATAAATTTATTTCAGATCAGAAATTTGCATTGTCTCTGTTTTATCTTTAAGAATTTGCATGTCGTTAACTGTTTGTCATAAGGCTGAATAAGCTTCACAAATCTACACCTCCCCCGAAATAAGAGATCAGTGATGAATATGTCGAATTCCATTCCATTTAATCTTTTACTTTTACTTAATGTGCTTAAGGAATTTATCTCTAAAGGGCTTGAGAATCTAGAATCGGTCGGAAAAAACATCAAACAGACTGGAACATGTGAAAACATGCATGTTCTTTTATCAATAAGTTGTGGATTTTGTTACATATATTGATCATTACATTATAAATTTATTTTTGTGGGAAGTTATCATACAAGTAGAATGTATTGATAGTGCGTGAAAAAACATAATTATGCTGTTTTATTTATCACTCTGAAATTTTTTTAACCTTACTAGCTTCTTGTATGCTCTTTTAAATTTCAATGAGTTAGGAAAGTTTTATCATATTAGAAAACTATATTTCAACTAGTTAGGTATTATCATGTTAGAAGGTGTATCAAATCCCAGAGAAAAGGCGTCTCTTAACACATTAATATATATCGATTATGAATAATATAAAAAGGATATTGAATAAGTGTAGTTTCAATACTTAAATAATTGAAATTATATTATGCGAGTCCAATAAATTTAGTAATGAAACTATATGAATATGATATTCTTTTTATCACAATATCAAAATCAGAAAAAGTTAATCGTCAAAAAAGAATCATTTATTTAACAGAGAAAAACGGAATCCCTAAAGAACACCTCCAAAACGGCAATATTGAAAATATTGCAGGCTCGGTTTGATTTATGTTTGTTTAAAGCAATTGACCGATAATAAATCGTTTTCACGGACGGGTATTTCATACACACATTTATTACAAAAACAATTAAAAGAGGAATTTATGAATTATAACATAACTGATATAAGTAAATAAATAGGCAGGGCTTATATTTACTAAATGTTTATGGTTGTTTAAACTATATTTTGACCTTATCAAGTCGCATTGGCAGTCAATTATGTTTACAAACGGCTATAAACATGTATTCTCATTTATAGCTATAACATAATCTTTGTTTAAGACGATCCCGGCTTTTCTGAATATGACATGGCAGCGGTAAATTACCGGGATCTCTATATATCTAATACGATCCCGGCTTTTCTAAATGTGTAAATGTGATCTGGCCGACGGACAATTCCCAGTATCTCTCTTTGTTAAATACGATCCCGACTTTTCTGAGCGGTCAATTTTCGGGATCTCTATATAATTAATACGATCCCGGCTTTTCTGAATGTGATATGGTAGATCAAAGATATTCTGTTTAAAATATTGTACAAGTATCGTAATGGTTTATGAGGGAAATGACAAGTTGTCCTATTGAAACATTTGATGTGATGTATTTTACTAAAGTAACCAATATACTAATATATTGATAGGAGTAAAATGATTTGAAAATTACAAGTCTGATTATGTTTGCCAAATGGAAATCACTATAAAGATTTATATCTAAGTAGGGAAATCCAAAGATTTATATAAAATGTCATCTTGTTCCGTGTGAAATCAAACAAAATGTATTTTGATAAAATTTAAAAAAGTCCCCTTATGTAGCAATCACACCTCGGTTCACCAGACAGGTGTCTCTAATATTATAAAAGGGCACGTGCCATTTGTGTCCATCACAGCAATTAAACCAACTCCGCCAGAAACTACTTTATAATTTCTTGAAGAACTCTGACATAACATTACACATCTGTAAAAATGCAGGGGTTATAGATCTATTCGATAATTAACCAATGGCACCTGCCTTACTGATTTATGAAATACATGTATATATCAATAAATGAATTGATGGACAACTTGTGTTTACTTTCTCTTATTACATATTATCATTATGATAAAAGTTTGATACATACATATAATAATACGTATATATTAAACTTTTATCATGATGATGATGATGACAAATCAATAGTCACGTGATCAATACGGGGTTCCGCACTCTTGATGTGCAATATACAACGACTTTCACTGCCATAACATGTACTTACAATATTAAATAAGATTTTTGGTGTGTGACATTCTAAGGTCAATTGACGCCCTCGTCTGTGAAAAATACGTTAACAATTTTTTTCCTAACCACTACAAATCAAACTTATTCAAAAAGCTCTACAAAACATTCAATTGATTATAATAACAATAACAACAACAACAACAACAATACTAATAATAATAATCTAAACTATATTTTCGTACAATTTGTAGTATTTCTAGTACGGCTGTTATTAATCAAACGTTTTCATTATTATGAAATAACCAACTAAGAAACATGTGTGCAGTGCAGAGTCTAACGAAAATCATTCAAATACAAAAGTAAACAATAAAAAAGACATCATATAAATTGTCAACAAGCATATCACAAGCATATCTTTGATAAAAGGCATGAGATAATCGGTAATTTATCGATGACACCGAGAGCAGGTGATTACTATATGTTTAATACGATCCCGGACCCCGGCTTTTCTATAGGCGATCCCGGAATTTCCCCCACTCATATTTCGGCCAAGTTTGAACGGACTGGTAAGCGACTGAACTAGTCCTATATCTAAGAATAACAGGTCCTAATTACACGGTGCATTCGGTATGCAACCATCGGTTCAATACGATGACGACACTTAATACGGTATTTTGTAAAAATGACCTTTACGATTCTATGCGGGAGATTTTCTCTGTGCGATTTTTTGTTTGTTATAGAAAAAAAAGTCTTTTCTTAAGATTGATATTTTATCGAGTGAAGAAGGCCTATATTGATCATATTCGGCAGAGATTTTTTATTCACGTTTCTTCCAAAAAACATTAAAAAAAATAAAACACGACAAGTACAGAAATACAAACCGTGTTGCATGTTGGTTTCGTTGCATAAGTATTATTTGACGTCAGATTTCCAAGTGGCGTAAACATGTCTAGTGACGACCTTGCCTGACATAAGAATCCCTTAAATGTTCTGTTGTCACCTGCGGGTAATCCTATGTTGACTGAAATAACAATCCGTGTGATGGTTATAGTCAACCGCGAACATGAACTAAGCTTTTATTTTCATGAATTTACAGCAGCTGAGTGTACTAAAACTAAGCTGATGTTTTCATGGCCTTACAGCAGCTGTGTGTATTGCGACTAAGCTTTAATTTTCATGAATTTAAGTATGTATGTATTGCGAGTAAGCTTTTATTATCATGAATTTAAGTATGTGTGTATTGTGAGTAAGCTTTTGTTTTCATGAATTTACAGCAGCTGTGTGTATTGCGAGTAAGCTTTTATTTATGAATTTAAGTATGTGTGTATTGCGAGTAAGCTTTTATTTTCATGACTTTAAATATGTGTGCATTGCGAGTAAGCTTTTGTTTTCATGAATTTATAGCAGTTGTGTGTATTGGGACTTTTATTTTCATAAATTTAAATGTGTGTATTGCAAGTAAGCTTTTGTTTTTATGAATTTACAGCAGCTGTGTGTATTGCGACTAAGCTTTTATTTCATAAATTTACAGTAGCTGTGTGCATTGCTTTTAGTTAAAACACACATCCGCTGCAAATTCAAGAAAATAAAATCTTTGTCCATGTTTGCGGATGACTATATCCCTTAGTCAAATCTGAAAAGAAACATATATATAGTTTATTTACAAACAACACTTTGGTTGGTAAGTAAAAAAGGAAGAAAAACGAAAGAATAGCTTTGGAAAAATGATTATTGTGGCTTTAACACTTAAAATTATGTTTGGATCTTATACTGACGAAAAACTGTCGAACACCAAAACCAGTCGGTTGCATCCACCCTACCCCCCCCCCCCCCAAAGAAAAAAGTATTCAAATTTTTAAAGTCAAACTTACTAAATATTTCATCACCAACGCAATACGTCAAGCGGGTAACATTCGCTGAAAACTTATAGTTGTTTGAAGTGTCCGGAATCTGTGACGAATGTCCAAGGGGAATCATATCCTCGCAACTAAGATCGGGCGCACCGGTTGAATAAGCTTGCACACCATATGACGTCACTAGTAATGTTAATCCAATCGTTGTCGTTATATGACTGACCATCATTTCTTAAATCAATCCGTTCGAATTTTGTAAAAAAATATAGATATTATAAAAATAATTATAAAAACATTCTAGGAGTGAATGTTGTCTTTTTTGTTTTTTTAAAGTATGCCGGTTCCTGAAATGCAAATGCTTCAGACACCTGTATTCTACAAGCTTTGGTCTAATTTCAAAAGACGTTATTTGCATGCACAAAAAAAAAGAAAGAAAAAAAAGGAAAATAAGTTGTCACATATCAAATAGTGTCGTTTCGGAAAAATACTAATTTTCCCCTTTTTTCTCTCTCAAAACATTTTTATGAATTATTTATCACGTAATCATTTTTATTTTAAGTGTCTTAAGCAACCGCAGAAGCGTACACTTAGCAAAGGTGCTTCCGCGTTAAACAACGCGTGAACACAAATATAATTTGGGCATGAGATGGGTTTTTTAATGAATTTAAAAGACCAACAAAATGTTATGTAGCACGTTGATGTAAATTGTGTTTTTGCTTTATAAAGATTATTATTAAAATCTTGTAAAGGAAATATGACTTAAATTCATTTTTGCACTACTAAAGGAAGTTTGCTGCATTAAAAATGCGTCATATAAAGATTATTGACAGGTTTTATGACCGTATATAAACGGTTGTTTGCAATATATTGTAACGGCTTGGGTTATGTATGCATTGAACGTTTATATTATTAGTTATACAGATTTATTGATTATATAAATAAGATTCAAGATTCAAAATATTTTATTTCTTCTGATAAAAATTCCATGTACTTGTGTTGTTTGTGTTTATATATTTTGTGCTTGCTATAAACATGTATTTGCCTAATGCAATAAATTTTTGAAGTTGAAGATTATATGGCCATATCTACGGTTGTTTGGAAATATATACTGTAAAAACCCGTTTATATAGGGCCATTTGACCTGTCAGAAATATTAATCACGAATTTTTAATATAGCAAGCATCCTTTTTTAGCGAGAAAAGTGAAATTTCTTTTTAATTATGACAGACGCCGTGCATACTTATAGTTATAAAGATTTTGACAGATTATATGGTCCTATATACTAGTAAACGGTTGTTTGGAAATATAACCCGAACCGCCGAACCGCAAGCATCATTTATTAGAGAAAAAAGTGAGATTTCTTCATAAATAGACAACAGCAGTGTATATAAAACTATATGAAACTCACGATTGTCCAATGAAAAGGGACGTTACAAATGTGCAGTATTATTTAAAAAAAAAAACAAAAAAAAACTATATGTACGTCACGATTACAAACGTGCTGTATGATAAAGGGCAAAATAACCTGCCCAAAAATATTTATAACTAATTAAGTATAGTCAAATAAGATATTTTGTGTCTTAAATAATTAAAAATAAAATTAAAAAAGGATATCTTACCTTAATCTCTTGTATTTATTCCGGACTTTGTCCTTTGTAAAGAATAATAACCAAACATGTAAAAAACATCAATAAATGAAAAAAAAATCTGGAGGGAATTTGTTAAATCGGTTAGTCACCAAATATAGCTTATGAACTAATCTTTATCGTCAAGCTTACAACTGTTGTGTTTACAATCCGGGTTGGAAGGAGGCAGTAAATGGCAGTCATAAATTAAAAATAAACTGAAAAATCCGGCATGATTATACCTAAATTGAAACTACTTCTAAGGCACTTCTGCTGTTTTCTGGTTAAATACCTACACTTTTTAAATTTGCACACATTGCCTTGTATAAAAATATTAAAGGCCTATTATGCCTCAGAAATGTTTTTTTCTCTCAAAAGCTTCCTAATTTTGGTGTATTTTTATAGTACAATTGTATCTAAAAAATTAGATTGCCAATTGCCTGAGACAACTCTTTCATCTGTCGCCGTTAGGCAAACAGTACAGTTATAGTGAATTAGTATATTGTATGTAAATCAAAATATTACTTTGTTTACATTTTGCTACTTTTATGACAAATTATTTCACATATGTCGCTTTCCTCATGAAACAAGCATCTGACAGTCCAAAACAATTATTTAAACATTACAAAAGTCATGTCTGCCATTTCTAAACAATTCAAATATTATTTTTTCTGTAGCATAATGTGCCTTTAAAAATATCCGATGCGGTATTTCTTCATTCTGTATAGTTTTAATGGCTATACGTATTATTTACGAGGATTCCATTAACTAACCATTAGCAACCAGTTAGGAAATGTTTTAACTATACCCCTAGGACTATTTACTACGTAGAAATTTTATACAAAAGCTTAAAAAAATCATTTTCTTTTATTCTTTACATATGAATTGCATGATTGATGCACGTCACCGGAGATGCGTAAAATAAAGTAACCTGAAAATCAATCTCAATTACGTCAATTTCATTTCACCGCAATTACTTTTATTGTTATATTAGTCCAGTCAATTTGAGAAAAACATACTTGTGAAAATAGGAAAAGCTCTAAACTTGGAACAAATGGACTTTAAGCAATGGACACATTTTTGAGAATCCAATATGGTGGAAAAATCAAGAAGCGCTGCCGTAGATGTCTAAAATTAAAAAAAACACACACACACACACACAAAAAAAAAAAAAAAAAACGACCTAATAAATCATTACATTCAAGTATTAGCATTTTCTCGCCATTCAGCTGGGTATTCGATTTTTTTTACATGAGGTAGTACTTCCTGAACAATGGAGCTGATGTTCTTCCTTTAAGGGAAATAGTCTATATATTGTTGACCCGGAAGAGCCTACACTCTGTTTTGGAGCTTCGTACACGGAGATAGTATTTTCATCTTAAACATAGGTAACCCGATAAAAACATGGCGAATTGTATGCCCCGTTGGCGCCCCATTTTTTTAGGTCTTTTATCGCCCATTTTGTTATCATGTGGTATTATCCGTTTTGATTGGCAGATGGTATACGGGTAAAAATGGTAGAATCTTGTTAATTGTAAATGTCGCCGTCCAGAAATAGGGACAATTAGGGTATTATAAGCATAAAGTTAGCTGAAATCAGTATTTAAACGCGGTCTTGTCTCCTTAAAGCTAGTATATTTGAAATATTTCGTAAGTTCTGTGTGTCATTAGTTTTCACGACACTGGAAGTCATATGAAATGAATTATTGATCAGTTTTTTTTACATCGCTGTCTTCTAAAGATGATTAGTGATTACAATGTACATTTATCACATTTTATTATATTGATTGATGTGAGATATAAACAAAAATGTATGAATAAAAGCTAACTAACGGAATATTTTAACAGTATTTTAGTATTTGAATTGTCATATCATAATAATAGTCTTTTAGTATCATAATTGTCATATCATGATAATATGAAAACTGTTTAACGCAAAAGCAAAAAAAAGAAAAAAAAAGAAAAGAAAAAAGCAGACATAGGTATACAATGTATTTTTTTCCAAATGTACCTCTTGTACTTTTCCAGGTTGCTCTGAAACGCATAAAGCTCTGCAAGCGACCGAAGAAAGCGCCCGTCACGAAGTTTGTTACATGTATAATGAACAACGTCGTCACCATGAAAATGTTCACATGCATGATCAACATCCTCATCAAAATCATTATCACCATCAAAGTCATAACAAACATCACCTCCTTCATCATCAACATCATCATCACCATAATCATCTGCATCATCATCAATATCAAACAACATCATCATCATGTCTATCGGATATCATCCTTTTCATCATCGTTATCCAAATCAAAATAATAATAACCTCCATAATCATAATCACTAAAATGTTCAACAAGCCCATTAACCTCATCGCCTAAATTGTAATCATCTTATCTATTTCTTAGAACCTTCTTCCTTAATTGCATTATAGAAATTATCGTCCTATGCATCATCACTTTAAAAAAATCTGTTTCATCACCTGTTTAATCTCCTATATCATCATCATATCATATTTTACGTCCATCATCATCATGAAAGTGATTTATCACAGTCATTATCATCATCAGTACTTCCATCATCAGAATCATATATATCATCACGTCTATCATCAAAGTGTTCATCATCATCAAAATCATATTTATCATCATTTTCACCGTCATTGTCTTCACTTAAATACAGATGGCAAACTCCGATGTCCGTTATATTGTATATTTAATGTTAAGAACGGGGGATAAAATGTTTGATTAAACATATATTTCATTTTTTTATATTTTTCTTTACCATATCGGAAAAACATCAGATAAATATATTTTACCCGACTTAAAATCTGATATAAGTCCTTTTTATTGTGAATAAGAGAGTAGTGTTTTTCAATATCTCCGTTGATGTTGGGGATGATTACTGTTGTTGATGTTGAGAATAATAATGATGAACTGATTATGATTATTTACTGATTATGATGTATAATGATGTACCGATAACGATGATGATAATAATAGTTGTGACGATGCACTGATGATGATTATGATGATGATTTTGACAATGTACTGTTGACAAAAATGATGTACTGATATTAATTTCCTGTTGATGACTGAAAATGATGATGAAGATACTGACGATGATAATGATGTTGATGATGACGAATATGATAATGATAATGTACTGATGATGATAATGATGATGTACTGATGATGATTATGATGATAATTAATATGATGATGATTATTATTTAAACGATAATGACGATGACGATGGTGATAGGTATGTACTGGTTATAATAATGATGCATGTGCATTGATGCTGCTGAGCTTCTGCTGCTGGTGATAATGATAATTTACTGATAATGATAATGAAGTATACTAATGATGATGATGTTGTGCTGATGATAATGGTGTTGTTAATGATGATTGAGATGATGATGATGATGATGATGTGATGATAAACAGATCATTTTTATGTTAATTTACTGGTGATAATAACGATGATAATGTGCTGACGTTTATGATGATGTTAATGGTGAAGAAGATGATGATTGTGATGATGGTAATGGTGATGATGATGATTACGTACAATGTTAAAAAAACGAAAACTGTTTGTATGATGCCAAAAATATAAATTGCATGCTTATACTTAATGTGCGAAATCCGTTAAAATGGTGCATCTTGTATAGAAATCTACAGCTCCTTTTCTTTGTGAGCTATATTCGTTGCAATTGTAGTAAGGTGAGAGCTATATGCGGTGTAACATCGCTCTTATTGTATCAAGTTGTCCACAACCGTTTTTGCTGGGACTTTAGATTCTTTCATTTAATGAAGCTATACAGTAAGTTTATAGCTACTCGGGTGTCCAGTCTCTATTTATGGCTCATGAGGTCGCCTTCAACTCTTTAAGTTGGAAAATCGACACGTCACCTTCAAAAATCGAAACCCAGTTAGTAAGAAAATAAAACAACCAATAAAATCATTTTATTCAAAGTCAAGTCACAATGTAAATGAAGTTTTACGAGTGGTGTGTTTGTCTTTTATGTCATCATTTTTTTAAAGCGAAATATAATCTATCAATGCAAAAATAACACCATAACCCACTTAATATTTAATTTATGGACTTGTCCATCATTGAATCTGAACAAGACCATTTATTATTTTTGGGGCAAATTTCTAAACATTTACTGACTAAAAAGGGGAATAGTGCAGACCATGATCAGACGGCACGGATGTGCATAAGTAGATTCAGTTGTCACCAGCATAATGAAGTTTAAATATCAAACATTATCACTGTTATACGACCACTTATAAAAACAATAAAATGCGATTTACCACTCCATGTGGACAAGATTTATAGCACCCATGATTTGGCAATATACGGCGTGGGGGGATACCCTTCATGAGTCAGAGTTTATAATATATTTTGGATTATTTAGGGGTGTGATTTTCCTTGAAAATCGCAAAAGTGCATGATTAAATTTCTATTTATAAATCTTCAAGTGTCAGTTAATAAAGTTTTAGAGAGCAGGCATTTATTTATAAGTTTCAGAATACAATTAAACTAGATGTTACTAAAGTACAATCCTAAGTTTAAAGTGTTTTAAATCTTCTTTTTGTATAGAAAATAACTAATTACGAAACAATAGACAGGAAGGCTCACATTAATTATAGGCCCATTATATCCCCACCACACAATCACGCACACACATACACATAAATAAATAAATAGATAAACAAAAATGCATTTATAATTAGTTTTCAAAAGCTTTTTTATTTTTGATGTCCTGTTTAAAAAAGTCCATAAATCTAACTAAACTGGCCTATAACCCAAACCATCTTTTGTTTCTGTTGCTTTTTGGCAATAAGTCGAGATAAAGTGAGATAATTTTGTATGGATGTCAAAATTATAATTTGTTTACATATTGCTCATTTCACATTCAGATCTACTGTCTTTAAGTGATAAGCATCTAAAATGCTCTTAAACCATTATCTAAACTTTATAAAACTCCCGTTTTCCATTTCTAAAGCAGAAATATTATATCCATTTCTGGGGCATAGTGTGCCATTAAGAAGTTTATTTATGTAACTGTAGTTTGAAGTTTCAATTTTTGTCATAACAACTAAAGATACGGCGGCGTTGACTCAAACTGGATTTTTATATATT